CTCGAGCCAGATCCAAAGGCTATCGGAAAACATCGTGGTTTTGGCTATATTGACTTCAAGTTTGAGCAGGCGGCCATTGATGCTGTATCAAGCATGAATCTCTTCCAGCTTGCTGGCCAGCAGTTACGCGTATGTCGTGCTCTATTGCCTCGTGGTTGTCCTCTACCCGGATCCCCAGCTGCCCTTTTGGCAGCTACATGTGGCTCTGGATCTCCCAGTGGGGTGGTTGCCGAGCCAACTGCTGCATCCCGCTCTGGCCTTGCAGCTTGTCTGGCTGCAGTGGCCGCCGCCAATGCCACTATTTCTGGCTCTGTGGGTGGTGTTGCTGCACAGCTAGCCGCCAAAGCCAGTGGACCTGGCAGTGGACTCACCGCCATTGGATCTGCAGTAGTAGCGGCCGGGGGAGGAGCCGCCAATCTCACACTAAATGGCCTTTCGGTGAGTTCATTCTACTGTATTCGGCTTCACCTTTTGTGAAATGCTCCCTTACTTTGATTTACTACTTAAATTAAATATATATAAATAAATATATAAAAATTAAATATATTGCCATCCTCGTAGTATACTCGAATGTGTACGCCTTTTTAAAGCATTGAAGTGATTAAAACATTTTTGTTCATACATAAATTGTAATGTTTTGTTGCACTTTTGTGTTCCGTAGACAACCACTTGTGCATTACACGGTGACCATTATCCTTGTTGTATAGAGCAAATCCACAGTACTTCATTAGAATTGACTCACACTGCGGATAAGCTATTTATATATTGTATTTATTAAAAGCTTTTTTGTTTGATTGCTCCATTATTAGTTGACAAGATGATAATTGCTGTATATATATATACTATATATATAGTTGTTTTGGAGGAATTAAGTAAATAGTCTAACCAGAAATCGAAGAGGGATTGCCGCAAAGTGATGATTAATGGGTTCTGTGTAGAAGTCCTCGGCCCACCGTCCTGCGACCCCGCTGAACCTGTGCTAAGCTTTCGTCTGTACTATGACAGGCATCATCAGGGCAAAAATCCCAACTTTACAAAATAAGGCAAATAATATATTAAATCAAGAGAAAAGGTCATAGTACTTGGCACGAATTCATTGGGGTCGTAGGAAGTTGAGCAAAGGACTTATTTATACAATTCGACAGTATTTATTCTACAGCAATCCTTCCGTTTCCTGTGAGACCATTCCTCGAATTCCTTTCAACCATCTTTTTCTTCGAAATGAAAAGTGGCGTCACAATAAATCACTAGGGAATTATTCGAAACCCAGTTTTTGTTCATACATTTACTAATAACTTTACCTCTTATAGAAGTTGTTTGACCTTATTTTCCTAACTTGGTCATATTTGCAAGAAGACCTAGAGGAGCACACCTAGTCCGGAGTCCATAGCATGCATGATAATGTCCAGAGTCAGACCGTTTCGCCGGCATCGTCAGTAAGCCTTGTCAGTCTTACCATCATACTACAATTCGTCATAGACAAAGGAAGTCTATCCTCTGACCAAGTATCTGCAAAGAATCGACTTCACTTGTCTCTGACGAGTTGTAGTGGGGTGTTAAGAATTGCAAGGCTCACTGATGATACTGGCGAAACGTTTAAGAATGTACCAAGTCCACGGTCCGATCTGGAAATTATCCTTTATGCTATTGACTCCTGACTTCGTGTGTTCTTCTATGCCTTTTTGCTAATATGACCAAGTTGCGAAAATCACATCAAAAAACTTTTATACAACGAAAGGATACGGCGACCATACAAAAGGTTACATCATCCTGGTCTTCTTACTTTTGCTTACCTCTTATCTTTTACCTATCTAAACTTTTAGGAGGAAAATAGCCTTTCCCTTTAAAATTAAAGCCCTCCTATCCAAATGCCCATAGCACTTGGTTCCGGCCTCAAAGTCACTTCAATAGTAAAAATTAATTAACTGTTTACGTTGTAATAGATTCGATAGCTGGACTGTGTACGCAAATTCCTTCTCATACTTTTTCCCCCCATCTCTGTCCCTGCTCAGGGCTTATCGTCTACTCCCTCACCCTCAGTCACTACTGGCTTTTCAAGCTCCTCTCCTGCTGTGGCTCTTCCACCTCCTGGTATATTTATTCCTACCGTCAGTTCTCTCAGCACTCTACCCTCTCTTGCTTCTGCCATTGTTGATTCATTAATTTATGAGCCTTCTACTCCTACGGTATCGGCAGATCAGAGTCCACTGGCTTCTATTCCTCCACACCTTACTCAAGCTCAAATGGAAGGGTCTCCCTCCGGAACACAAGAAGGAGTCCCTACTAGCCCAGGGGAACTGCTCCATGGTAAAGCTCTTTTTCTTTAAGCATTAAAAGTAATCTTATTTATATTCTTTATTTAAGTCCATTTTTAGTCAATCTACTTGTCCGTTGTTTATGCCAAGTTAAATTTAATATTCTTTTATATTTATTCCTTTTTCTCTAAATATCGTAAGCTAATATTTTTTGATGTCTTTGCATTCACTATCATGCCATTGTTTTGAAATTGTAAATTGATGCTTTTTACTGCGATCTGATTTCTAATTCTAGCATAACCGTTTTAATTATACAACACTAATTCATGACTTAACATTTAATTTCCAGACAATCTTTATCATTAATTTACTCGTTCGCTTTTTTGACAAGGAGCCGGTGATAAATTTATGTTTATCAATGATCAAAGTAATAAGTTATTTTACCACCTATGCTTGGTTTTGACTCACTTTTCCTCGTCTCCCATACAAGGCACAGATCATGGGGCCTGAGCTCTATCAGCTTTTCTCTTAAATTTAAATTACTTTTCTAGTATTTTAGTAAATTACGAAAATGTTGGTTCATATAAGTTACTAGTTAAATAAAATGGGTCATGGGGGAACTAATTAGGATTGTAAATCCATTTGGTTAACATTAATATGCAATATTTGAGATGTTTCTCTTTATTTCGTTAAAGTGATACAAGACCGGTAGAATGTTCCAACAATCTTATGAGTGAACATTGCATTGCCATTGAATTTCACATGGTCTTGCCTTATAGAAGGTATTCTAATCTAGGCAGGAGTGGACTACAGTTTTGACCTCACCTAGGTTTCATCAGAACCCTCAGCCGGAACTCGAATCGCGATAATTCGGCACATAAGCTCGATATAACCACTACGCCACACTGTCATGAATACCTTTGAGTCACAGGGCAGATGCCATGAAAGACCTGACATTTTCCCATATCGTATTCTGTGGTAAGATCGTCGGTGAAGCAGAATTTTATTCGCTATAGTAATAGACTATATTACTTATTTTTCCTTTTATAAGTATGTTTTCGAGACCTTATCTAAATAAGGTGAATACTTCTTATATATTTGATCTACTGGCAGTTTCGAAAGCCTACTTATAGACAAATAACAAATTTACTCAATTACTACAGCAAATACAACTTTGCTTCATCGACAATCGCATGACTGAATATGAAATGGAAAAATTTTTCGGCATTCCTTGTACTTCACATCTGCTCTGTCGCTCAAGTGAACTCATGATAATGTGACGTAGTGTCTAACGTGTTGAGATTATGTGCTGCACTTTCACGGTTCGAGTACCATTGGAGGTGCTGATGAGACCTAAGCGAGGCCGAATCTTCAGTCAATTTATGCCTGAATAAGAATACTTTTTAGGAAGCAAAGGTATGATAAATTCAATGGAAACATAAAGCTCACTAATTTGATTTTGGGAAAATTCAACTCATAGTCCTATATCACCTTAGTGAATTAGAGTACACCTCATATATATGCTCTACTGGTAGTCTCGAAAACTAAAACTAAATATTTAATGCCAGTTGAAGGACCATACTTCACTTATCTTGGCACCACAACTGCTCGCAACGCGGATCTTATATGGCAAATATGTAACAAAATA